TGATGATGATGATGATGATGATGATGATATAAGATAAACATACTACTACATTCATGTACCTTACGTTTTCATTCTTTTTTTCCTTTTTCCCAGCTGCATAACTTGCTGGGCCCAGAGGATCTCCAGTACTACTTCAACACAAACATCAGACAGAATGGTAAGCCACTCAGTCTAGAGAGAGAACATTTGTGTAACATGGTAGTGAGATTAGGCGCTAATCACATTAAGGAAATCAAATAAATCGTTTGTTGCGCTTAATTCTTCTTTTCCTAATTGGATGAACAGCTTGTATGTTCATTTAAACCACATCCCCTATGTGGATTTTACTGGCAAATGTTGTTTAGGGCAAAAGCGTTGATCTTTTTTGAAGGGAACAAAAGTGAATTTTCAGTTCCCAAAACACTCAAACGTTGGACGTCACCAAACTTTGGGGTTTTTTTTCTCGCTTATTTTTACTTTTGACGTTTGGCGACTCTACCTCCTTCAATCATAACTTATTATCTCGACTTCTGTACAAGATACATGGGTATTGTTTCCATCAATGGCAAGATAAATACACAAGCTTAAGGTGGAACTTAGAACTCCATAATATGCCAAAAAATTGATGTGCGCCTGATGTCATCACCTCGGAACGCATATTGTTGTGGTTGATTAATGTTACAGAGTGTAATTTACATCTTTGAGAATATGATAATAACATTGTAGTAGCGTATGTGATGCAATGGTTAAGTTCTTTGCTGCAGCAAACAAAGAGCATGGGTTCGATTTGCAAGTGTTGGATTTTAAAAAAAAATAAATATTCGTTTTATATTCTATTGGAATGATACGTCCCATTCTGACCGGGTTTGACCCAAGCAGCTGAAATAGAAGCAACCCACTTCCTCTGTAACCTATCCTGGGATAACGTTGTGTAAAGTAATAATTATATTATATTATCGTAATCTCCCTTGAATGTACGTATGGTTTTTCTGTGTGTAGGGAAGGAGGATGACGTATGTACGAGCGTTAGCTTGCTGTTTGTGTGTGTGTG